AAATATCGCAAATGATAATTTGTTATAAATACTTAATATATTTTAGCAAAAAGATAAAATTAATTATACAAATAATATTTTTAATACAATGTTGTCTTTCTTTCCAACTTAACTTGACCTTTCTCTGAAATTGACTCATAAATCATAATTTATTACGATAGCTATTTTCGACTGATCTCAATTCGTTGGTTTTTTATGTGCTACTATTATAGATGAAACGATAAACATTCTTCTCATCGCTCCGTTATATAAGTAATAATTTTCAGATCATTATATCAGTTGAAAATTGCAAACAATAGATCATATTAGAATCTATGATTGATCTTGTTATTTATTGCTTGTTTTTATATCATACTTTGTCCAATATGTATGTAGTAAGTAGAAAATATTTCTTATATATGAAACATGAATTACAATTACCTATTATTCGAAGATTGATATATTCCTTCTAGTCATAAATGGTCACTGTTAAAAAACCTTGCTATAAAAACTACTTCTTACACCCAAATTTTTATGGTAAATATTATTTTGTTTCGCATCTGAAATTATGGGGAAGCTTTCTTTGTATATTTAAGAAGCCGATGCTTGGCAGCTAACAAATTGAGGGTTGTAATGACTCAGCGTTATCGAAATATTGCTTTTTGAGTTCCATTGATTCAACGGAACTAGCTAATGGCACTCATTTTCTCCAGAATGATGACGAATGCTAAAATTTAATAGCAATAAGGTATCTTTTAGTCTCATCCCTCCCGTTGTAAAGATTTCCTTTTCTATATCCACTATATAATTATCAGAATAACAGGAAATATTTTGCATTCTTTGGTATATTGATTTATATTTCTTACACATTTTGTTATTTTGGGAGTTCAACAAATAGGCTGGTGTCAAACCCACGAGACTTAAATATTTAACTGTATTGTAGTAATGAGATTTAAGATTTTCGCGAGTATGTATCTTATTGCATTTGTTTTGGAGAATATATTTTGTTAATATATTTTTTAAGCCTCAAATGTAATGTATTGTAATGTATACTTATACAACTTCAAAATATATAATAATTTAAGAGTAAAATTAAAATCAGCAATAGGATGTGGACAAGATAACAATTTAGATTGAAAAATATGCGCGGGATATGTGTATGTAGGTTATAATTAGTCTGCTATACTCAAATACTTTGGGAAAAATATCTTTGTAAACGAAATAATGCGTTTTATGAATTTCATTAATAATATTTTCTTAAAACGTGTACCTACATTTTATTTAGCTAATGATATGCTTGAAATTATTTTTTTATAGTTTTGGATTAATAAAGTAAGAAACAAGAATACTCACAATTTCTTAATTTTTATATTATTAATGAGATAGGAAAAATTTCTTTAATATTTTCAATTATTTTTCACCATAGCTAGCCTTAATTTTTAATTAAATTGTGTTACTTCGACGCCTACGCGGTGATATTTGTTTGCGATCACCGTCATCAAATCTCAATTACTTTAGATCGCTATTATTGAACAAACAAAAATATCAATCTTATATCTTCTTTGATGATACACTACGTTCTGAAAGGAGCGACTATATACGTCTATCCATTACATCGATTTTATTTGTAAACTGATGCTATTCATCGGAAAGCGAGTAGTTTTGCTCTGTAAAACTTCATTCATAGATATAAAAGTCAGTCATGCTCACTGGCCGGGACATCGGGATAATGAAATCGACTGTAGATTCCCACTCTCACATTTTTTTTGTATCTTCGTGACAGTATTTCCGTTGTGATTTATTCGATCTCCCATAACTCAATTTATTTTTCCGACAGTGAAGTTATTTATTTTTCTACTGGGTTCGATGTTATGTCTTATACTTATATAGAGTAATTAAAGAGCTTATTGATGTTTAGAACTAATAAATGACTTCTTTCATAAAAATGTACAGCATGGAAACGATTTATACATTATTTATCATTATTGTAGATAATTGTCACCGTTGTTACTTCATTAATATAAGGAAACCCTTGTATTATCTCATAATAAGTTATCTTTGTTTATTATAAAATGTTGAATTAATGCCTACTGTTTGGAAAAAACGATAAAAGTGTGACTGTCCACGGAGATAAGTCTTTTTATTAAGTTAAAAATACTTATATGATTGCTGAACCATCTGACATTTTATAACATTATTTTTTATAAACTATATATCCTTTATAAGTAATGAGTATACAATTAATAAACTAGATTTTATAATACTAACACAGCCAAATTCTATTTACGATGACATAGCTGAATAGTCTTCAGAAAGTATACAAAAGTCTAACGATTGCTCTACAATCATGGCCATATTTGTCAAACAATAATTTTGTTGGCGAGTTTGTCCGAGTTCTCATGCTCCCATTACTTCTAGCAACAAAGCATCGCATCAGAATTGCCAAGAAAATCACGATAAGTATCTCTCAGTTGTCACGAACCAATTTCGTCTGAAACGCTCCTGGTCGGGCTTGAGTGAGAGGACGTGACCTATGCCGTTTCGAATAACTTGAAGTGTGAAACGCCATGTCTGGTCAGCGGGAGGTATGAGCACCAAATAAATTTTGTTATTGTCGAAAACAGAGGTGGATATCAGACGTCGATCAAACGCCACACAAAAATGCTATCTGATTTGATTGGTGCTTGAACTGCGATCAGTCATTCTATTGTGTACTGTATAGACAGCAAAAAATAAGAAAATTCATTTTTTACACGAGTTAGATGATTCAACATAATATTAGTTTGCAATTCCTTTGAATTGATAATTCTTTACTCGTTCTGCAAGATGCCACTAAATCTTAATTTACGTTATTAGTAATTTAGTAAATTTATAAAATATCACCTTAATGATATTAAAATTTAAAATTAATCCGAATGTATGCATTTTACTAAAAGAGAAGATATTATTTATTTCTCAAGAATACCCGGATATCAAACAAATGTACATAGATACAGATAGATGGTCATTGATCTTATCGTTAGTTCGGCAATCCTCAATATTAAGCAACAAAGGTAATATAAAACGTTTTCATATCTGCGGTTCATTTCTTATCTATCATTGGGCTACATTGGTATGACCGGGAGAGCCATTGGTGCGTTTAACCGTGAAATCCTGAGATAGGCCCGATACTCCAGATATTGATAGCAGGTATCCTCTAACTTGATATCGTTTTGGTAATGTATTAGAGATAATAAAGACAAAACTGAATTCAATTGCGATCGTCTGATTTATTCGACTATAAGTTAGAAAGATGATATTAAAAAAGATTCGATCATATTTTTTCTATCATTTTGGTTTTTTTTGTCATGAAAATATGAGCAACTTCAACAGATATTGAAAATACTTTGAAATAAATCTATATCTTTATTATTCATGAAAATGAAATCTTAAAGTTTGATGAAAAATAATAATAAAATGTTTTGTTGTAAAAGCATACCAAATAGTAAAACTTACGTATCTATTAAGAATTAAATTTGTTTTGAGATAAAGTATTATTAAAAAAAAATACATTATTTATTTTAGGAATTTGCTAAAATAAAATACCAGTAAAAAATTATTGTTAGTTGGTCTCTTTGATTGTAAAACTATTTTTATAACTACATATATGTGACTAGTCATCATATCATGCCATATGTCGTGCGTTGGAGCTGCCACTTCGTTAAGTATTACAAAAAATCAATAAATGCTGCACACTACGTCTGACAGACGGTCAAGTTTAACCATCATATAACGAGTTTCAAATATATTATAGTCTATTGTAAATCTCTTTTATGGCTACTATAGAATATCCGTGACGGTTAGAAATATGACTTGGGAGTTGGGAATCTACCTGGATAGGGTCCATCATTATGACTTAGGCTGATTGTCGGCACGCCGACCTTTTTTTTGATAAACCGTTTCTCGTTTCTCAATATTTCGGACAGAAAACAACGGACTTAGCAGACGTATAATACCATATTATGGTTTTTATATAATGTTCTTTTTGTCTCTTTGTCGGTAAGTAAAAAATATTGTCTTATATAATATACACTGGTAAAATCTATAACGAATTGCAGTATTGTCAGTTAATTTTTAATTAAGTATTCGAAAAAAATAATTGTGAAGACTTTCAAAAAAGATTTATTATGTTAGAAAAAACTACTATCTTTTACTGTTCTTTATTGTATGAGTGAAATATTTATGAAATAAGTATGATTAAAGGAGAAAAAATAATAAAAATGAAATATAAATGATTTTGTTTATTTCTTCACCACGTTAACAATCGACAATGAGTTATATTAGGTACATTTTGTAAACGCAGTCAATAACATAAATTATATTATATATTCGAACTATCAAATTGATAGAGATAGGCAATTTGACAAATCATTATCTCACTACAAGGAATATTAATTGCTTCTATCACTAAACAGATGATGTTATTGACCATGTAACTCTATATCTACAAGTATTAACACCATTCAATCTTAATTAATGACTAGTAAAACTGTACAAATATTACTTTACATACATACATTTATATACAATATATTTACATCAGATATATTTGGTAACAATGAGATAATATAACATACTATACCAAAATACTTAATAGTCATTTCACACAACATACCTACTGGCAATCCAAAAATCTATACATTTTAAATTTATCAGTCTTAAAGAACAACAATTATTTTGATACTTATAACTAATACATTTGCAGTAATTCATTATTTATTCAATTAAAGTTGAATAAGACTACGTTTTTAATTACATACTCGTGATATTTAACAGTCTCATCAAATGTATACTATCTTTGATTATTGTGTAATCAAGAACAAACAAGTTCTCTTTGTTAATTTTTCAACAAACCATTATGAAAAAATATTACTATTCTATAAGGCTTGGGCAACACCAATGTAGACTAGTCTACATATGGTTTGGAATGTAATGTTCCATTAACGAGTATCTTTTTAAGATAGCGATGGTTTAGTGACATGTTATCTATGCACGACTGAATGGGTCTGTGGCAAGCAATCATGTACCGATGAACGGGGTTGTAAATAGCCTTGCTCGTCGAGCATCGAAGGAGAATGGGGTACTGTATGTTTGCGTATAGTATTAGGTGGTCTAGGCCGACCTCCATAAGGTTGTTCGTAATTTTGGGTGTCGATAGAAATATAACTATGATGTGGATTGTCAATTTCTTGTATTTGGCTTGTTAAAGTTGTGTTTGTCAACATTGAGGTATCATCCTCGACAGTAATACCAACATTTGTGGTAGAAGGTGTTTGTGGTGGAAGAGCATCATATTTGTACCAAAGCTCGGGGGCGGTTGGTGACGCAGTATAGCGAGAGGGATTTCGTCTACTATTAGGACATACACCGTGATTGTAATTATTTGTATCTTTGTTCCATTGCAAATTTGATATATCTGGCATAAGAAATCGTAACTTTTCCCAAAACTTTTTTTCACCCCAAATTAATACATTACAATTTTTTAAATAGCTTTGGAAGTCTACATCTAAATTTAGGGCACTCACATCTGTGGTGAGAATAAAAAATACTCTATGCCGCCTGATTGAAGGATGAATAGTTGTGATGACGTGTTTTATTGCATCTTTAAATGATGTTTTGGACCATTCACTGTGTATAAAATTAAATGAAACAAATATAAGTATTCTTTTTGAAGATTCAGCGGCATTTGTAATTTGTTCTATTAAATAATTTTCTGGAACGTGTTGTAAATCTCTATAATGGAAACACATAGTGTATCCAAAGTGTTCCATTTCTGGAGCGACTACTCTCGAAACAAAATCATCATCTAATAAACTATATACAGCATATCCATCATACATTCTATCCCTATCAAGTTCACTTTCTTGAATTGAAGCACTTTTAAACAATCTAACACCATATTTTGAGTGCGCCCATAATCGTACATTTTGCCTAAATGAAAAAGCTAAAGCACCAAACAATAAAATAAGAATAACACTTATTAACACTACAGCCAAAAGTGGCACAAAGTTTAATTTTATAGTGCTAATTTCATCATATTGAAAAGGCTGATTTTCTGTAGGTATAGTATTGTCCGCCACTACAGAGTCATGACACTTGTCAGTTACATCAAACACTGTCACATTTAAACTATTTTCAAAACACATCATTTCCGAAGGATCCTCGTTATGTTTCTTTAGCCAATTTTGTAAAGATATTAAATGGTCACAGGAACAGGTGAATATGTTTCCTTTAATATTCACAGTTTCTAAATGGGCAATGTGGTTTAACTTTTTATCAAGGTCAAGTATTTTATTGCCTTGAAGATGAACTACACGTAATGAAGACAAGTTTTCAAATGTCGAATTCCCTACACTTGTTAAGAAGTTATCGTTTAAATACAACTCTCGTAAATGCTTTGTTTGTGAGAATTCGCCGCCAGCTAATTCAGTTAAGTGGTTATTTTCTAAATGTAGAACGTTTAGTGAATGTAATCCATTGAAGGTATCGTTGTCCATAGTGGCAATATTACTATTATTCAAATACAACTTATGTAATTTCTTTTTACCTATAAATAAGTGACTGCCTAATGTCCCAAAATCATTTCCATCAAGATACAATTCCGTAGCGTCCATGGGTATTTTTTCTGGTATTTCAGTATATCCTACATTTGAGCAGTCAATAACATTTGAATTCCAATTACTGTCATGAAAGCAAGAGCAGCCTTCCGGACAAGTCATTTTACAATCGCAAGCTTCGAAGTCACAACAGAAACAACTTGAAGAACAATGAGTTTCATAAGAACAAAGGAACTGTGTTTCAGGAACATCCATTAAATTCGCCTTTCCCCCGTACTTGTTGCTAACGACTTCGCAAGTAACTGACTCCAAGTCTGCAAATCTCGGATATTGTCTCATATGGTTCCAAAGGTTAATCTTTTGCAACCAGATCATGTGACAGTTGCATATAAATGGGTTATTTCCAATAAAAAATTTGGGTAATGTTCTATGTTTTGGAATATGAGGTAATGTAAACGCTGCTAGCTCAACAGTTCTAAGTTTATTGTCTGTCATTACAACTTTTTCTAAGTTGCGTTTCTGTATAAATGTACCTGCATGAATAGTGTGAATTTTATTGTTATTTAAGAAAAGGATCTGTATTGAATCAGGTATCGACATTTCATCCACTCTTTCTAAAGAATTGTAACTTATGTCGAGCATTCGAATATTTTGTTGCACGTTTTGCTCGTTATCCAATTTTGTGATGTTATTCATATGAATATCTAGCCATTCCAGACTCTCGGGCATATAACTATAATCGAAATATATAAGTTTGTTATCAGATATGTTGAGCCAACCAAGAGTATTCAACTTATTAAAAACACCTCTTATATCGGTTAATTTATTGCCATCAAGTCGTATAGCTTTTAATGTCGGATTGGAAACAAAAGCATTTTGTTCAATAGTTTCAATCTTATTAGATGCTAAATTTAGTACTTGTAAGGATGGCAAAGAACTAAATGTATCCTTGGGTATACTGGTAATATAGTTATCCACAAGCCGTAGTCCATAAAGCTCTTCAAGGCCCTCGAATGATGTATTAGAAATTTTGGTTATATTATTCTTTCCAATATCGAGCGATTTCAAAAATCTTAAACGTTTTATACTGCTGGGAATAACATTCAAATTATTTCCATTTAGTCCCAGGTCTTGTAGGTATGTAATATTTTCAAAACAGTTGTCATGTATAGATGAAATTTCATTGTTGTCAAGATAAAGTTGGCTCAGCACAAATAAATTCGAAAAAATATTTTCATTTAATATTTTAATTTTATTGTCTGATATTGAAAGTTGATGCAAGTTTTTCAGCTCTGCAAAAGCACCATTGCTTATCAGTTTTATTTCATTATTATCTAAGTTTAGAACTTGAAGGTTATTAAGATCTTGAAATGATATCGGATCTAAACGAGCAAGTGAGTTGTATGATAAGTTTAAAATTATCAAGCGAATTAGACCCGAAAATGTGTCCCTATTTACCCAATCATTGGTTAGACGGTTTCTGGATAAATCAAGTTTTTCGAGTTGGTCAAGTCCCTCCAATAGTCCAGGTGCAATCACAGACAGAGAATTATTTGCTAATGATATTTCTCTGATAACCCGTGAAGACTGAAAAAGCTCAGGAGGCACAGCTACTAATTTATTTCCAGATAAATTTAGAATTTTCAATGAATTCAATCCAACAAAAGCCCTGTCTCCAATTTCATTAATCAAATTGTTCTGAATGTTCAGCACTTCTAAAGATCTCAGACTAGAGAGACCATTATCAGGTAGCCTTAAAATGTTGTTATGTGATAAGTCAAGCATCTTCAAGCCAGTATTACACGATTTTCCAGGAGCTATAGGTCCTTTTCCCCAATCAGAAAATCCAATATCTGAGATATCCTGTATTCTATTATTAGTTAGATTTAAAGACTCAAGGCTAAATAATGGACAGAATACTTCAGATGGTAACATGTAAATATTATTATCGCCCAAATCTAACGAACGTAGCTCCATCAAACCACGAAAACTTTCGGCATGGAACTCCATAGTCATTGCGGGCCAATCGGTGTTGTATGAACGCAAAGATAAAGTCGTTAAATCACGAAGTGGCGATAAAACTGTTGCAGGAACGTAACGTATTTTACAATAATCAATTTGCAATTCTTCAAGTTTTCGAAGTTGTCCTAAAAAACTACCAGTATTCATATGCAAAGAACTTTCGAAGAAAAGTAAATCGGTGCATGTCAGTTTTAACTTGTTGATATTGTACGCCTGCGCCGTGGTTATGTTTTTTGAATAAGAAGTCAGCCGAGCCGATGGTTTTGATGTTACACGTGAGAAAGTTAGATTCACTCAACTTTGTGTCCGAATAGTCCCACTGACAGCCGACAGGGGCGGGCGGCGCAGAGCGTGCGCGCGCACCAATCACCATAACCAAACACATCCAAACTTTAGCCAAAATCATTTTAAATAAGTTTTTATTCATATTTTCACGTTAACACAGTCCATTTGTCACTTAAAATCACTAGAAAAATACTTTATTTCAGTTTTATTACTTAAAGTTCAATGTTAAAATGTTTGTTTTGTTCAAGTTAATTACGACTCACAGCGCATGTAAACAGAAACTGCGCGATCGCGGTATAAGTTTTGACGCAGCCATACTCCCCTGCGGTCGGGCGGTAACTGACCTACGTAAGTTTGAACGAACGAAAGCCGCATGGGTGTATAGGTGGGGGGAAGCGGGGGGAGCGGTGGGTCTTTGTATCTATCGGTGAGACCCGCACTGCATCAGCTTACAACAGATGGCACGCCTGTTTTTAAATACTCAAAAATATTGGTAATGCAGTGAAGAAGACTTACGCAGTGCAGGGATTCAATGAACACATCTAGTATTACAGCACGAAGGAGGTCGAAATTTAAAAAAATAACTTTTATATGAGCTCAATTTCTAATTAAATAAGGAGTGCTGAATATTTTTTCATATAAACTCGTAATAAAAGATAGAATAAAAAATAATGTTTATTATTTAGAGGAAATCTACTGTAAACTAAACAATAATAAAACTGTATACTAACAATAAAACTAAACAATTTACATACATATAATATGTACTTCAATTCAAATAATTACTTTAAGCTATGTGTGTATATTCATACTTGGCAGAAAAATTGGTATTTCCCTCATTTATAGCCAAACGAAACGATAAGTTAAAATCATATAAAGGCGCATGATTCTAAGATAATCTCATTCAAATTCTCTATAGCACAGGAAAAGGAAATGCATATTATTCGATATTTGACAAGAGGGCGGACCGCAATGAATATAATGATTGACAGATCCGAAATCTCTGATAATAAAAGGAATTGCGGTGAACAATTTCCTCGGTGTCATTAAGCTTATTTAATATAAGAACAGATGGCAAAATATTGTGGCTTATTATGATAAACGACGATGGAAGCAATTTAAGTGTAGGTGTAGGTATTTTATGCTATCTGTTTATCGTTTGTACTTTATTTTAATATCGCCGTTGCTCTATTTACTGAACACAATGGTATAATATTTTCAATGTAACAAATATGTCATATCTATTGAGTTTGCGTTATATATAATATCACTGAATATATAAAATATCAATGAATAAAATATATTTAAGTCCTCCTTTGACTTAATAGCTGTGAGGTTGAATTTCAGGTTAAATAATACTGACCCCTATAAATAAAATTGTAACTAACAAAAATTGTATTCCCCATCGAAGCCCACAAGGCTACCAGCTAGTTAAGAGAAAAAACACGTCCATTGAGGATTAGGCTAGGCTATCGTGAGTCACCAAAAGTCATCGGATGCCATAACACGTGCGTGTCGAATTGCATTTACCGTGGGAGACGAGTTGACTCTAAGAACATTTACTTGTATTTTATAGAATTTGTATCTAGGTAATATGAAAAAAGTAAATTTAATTCCTATGTTTCTAAGCATTTTCTTATAGGTAAATTATGCGTTTCTTTTTATCCACAAATATAAAATTTTAAATTAATTGACATAAACCCAATAAAGGTACAGTAATGTATCATATGTTTGATTTAACAATAATTTAATCTATGAACAATCAATTTTAACATAGTTTTTTCTATCATATCAACACGCACAGTTACTGGAAGTAGTAAAAGTTCTAGTTTCTACCAAAACCGAGAACCAAGGTCGCATTGGAGATCAAACTATTGATATTCTGAGTCAATATCTAGAGTCAACACTTTACGTGCCCGAGACGATCCAATATTTACTAGTAACATACAATATTACCACTTATCTTGTTACAACTAGCTTCGAAAACATCACACAAAGCTCTTCCCTGAGGAATGCCTCATGCTGTATTGACACGGTCCGATATCACACCTCAATCGACCTTTATTTGAAATAAAGTTTTTATTTCAATGATACTTTATATAGGCACAGGAATATAATAAAAATCTATGTTAAATTATAATAGTATTTAAACAATTAAGAGCCATTTGTTACAGTTACCATAAAATAACTCAACTATGAAGTTTAAAAATAATATTTAAATTGAAAACATAACCAAAAACACTCTCAAAATGTATCTTTTGTCTTGATTATTGTTCTACTGGAAGCATTATACAACAGTTTTGCAAATCTGGCTGTGTTCTATATAAACTTGTAGCTTTTTCAAACTTTCTGTTGACAAACCGGAGCGAATCGAGTTTCCGGAAGCTCAGTAATTGAAACAGTTCAACGTGAAACTAAGGAACAAACAATACAAAACTGGCAGCCGAATTGAAACCAAAAAGTATCGAAACAATTGCATTAGGTATACCCAAAGTTTTATGGCCCATTCATAACGTTGGAATCTTTCACTTGGTTTAGAAAAAAAAACAATACTCTAACCAGTCGCTATACTCGTATTTATCTGGGTTCTGAGAATGTCTCATAAATTATCTAAGTCAATGTAGAAAATTATTGTTTTAACTCAAAACAATTAAGCGACTACATGATTTAGTGATGGAGTAATTTATTCGTTACTAAATATCGTAGTGATAAACTATTAAGTCACTATATTTCGTAATATTATAAATAATGACTTCGCCTTAAGGTCAGTCAGACGTTGTCTGACAATAGAGTCGCCAGCAAACTAATTTAAAGTTTGCTCTCGACAACAACTATGGAATTTGTATTTAATATCATCCACCAGTTTAGGCTTGAACAATATTATAGACAAATTAAAATTCTGGTGATTACTTGGATTCTTTTTTAGATGTTATAAAGAATCTTATCACTTATCAGACCTTATTAATTTAAAATAATATCTTTGTACATATGTAAGTCATAAGTGAAGTTAGTTTAAATATATATTGTTATAAACTTTACTTCACACATTTTAATTAATGTAAATACAGGTTAAATAATTTTCTTAAGTAGTCTTTTTAAACTCATTGCTGTGAATTGATCTGTAAATTTATAGGAGACAAACAAATGCTTTGTACAGACAGTAATCTGAATCTGCAATAAATTCTTTTGAAAACTATCGTCGACCATAAAATAGGGTCTGTCTCCGCTTAAACAATAGAATCCTACCGCAATTACTTTATTGCCACCCTAAATTTACGTAGCCAATTTTTTCACTTAACTTTAAAAGTATTTTTATGACTCTCACCACCACAGTTATGGTTTCTACAGATAATGTACATTCAAATGGTTTTATTGCAAGAGTTGTAAATATTATTACATTTCTATTTTTAAGTAAATATTTTTATTTTTATTATTCAACTGTCATGCTCAGAACAATAATAGAAATGGTAATTTTTTTATTATATTACTATTGTTTCATTAGGTTATTATGGTTTAGTGTCGTTTTACTAACAATTTATTTCGTCCAGGAGCTTTTCTTATAATGATTACATAATAAATTTATTTCGTTTTGCCGACATTTTGAAATGTCAAACTTTAAAAGCGTAAATGCTATTTGTAAAATAAGACATCGTATCTTGGAGAGTGCCAGCGTTGAATTTTAAAGGCGTTTTAAAAGATAATCGAGACAAAATATTGCTTGCGCCTCGATAAAGGTGGCCTTAGAGAACAGGTACTCCCATGGCACGTTTTAAGTCAAATAACCGACGAGCACGGGCCTGAAACAGAAAACGCTTTGTACTAAAAACGTCGACCCCTTATCTTCGAAGATGAACTGACTCCACAGAGCCAGTACTTTAGTAAAATAACCAAAGGGTTAGTGTATCCAAATACTTATAATACGTATCTCGTACAAAATATATTTAAATTTATGAAAATTTAAAATACCCTGTCATTATTTTTCAACGAAAATCCATTTTGGCATACTTTCATAATTACTTTATTTAATATTTTCATATCTGTAAAATGAACATACAGTATGTATATGATGTAATGTAATTTGTTTTTTATATTTAAGCTCTTACAAATGTCCTATTAGAATAAAAACTAAAATATCATATTATTGTTTTGATAAAAAAGTATTAGTTTTATTACTTGTACAATAGGATAGTTATCCACGAAAAGCAATTTCCATATTCGTGCCGTGTCTTTGGGATTCATGTGTATCGTTGGATCCAGCGTCTTGAGACTTCGCACGAAGTCATCATTCATACGAGCAGATATCATCGTCGCTGTCCAAGACTGCTTGTTAACAATAAAAACGTTATCCTTACCTGGCACAGAATGTCAAGAGTGTATTTTAGTCCTTTTAAGTCTCAAATGTTTTAGTGCATTAAAACGGTCGCCATTGTCCGGCAAATGTGACTACTGAGTGCAGTATGATTCATTGATATGTGACGTGAGTAAATAATAGGCCCTTATTTCGATTTCATGCCTTATACGATAAACAATCCAGTCTGGGTGGTCAACTGAACTAGTCAAAAATATTAAGACCAAAACCAAAATATGTGATTCTGTGAAGTTTTTATTATTTATAAAAAAATACGGGATGCGACCTACACATCGAAATTTGTATTACAAAGCGTGATTACTACTTAAATGGTCTTTATAAATTGACAACTTTAGCTACTAAAAACTTTTGCTGTCTTCAATAAATATTATTTTAATTTTTTTTTATTGCATTGCACACGTCTATTAAAATTCATACATGGATTTAAAAATGTATTTCTATATTTTACATTTTTATCTATGTATAGTAGTGATTTCAAGTTCAGTTTTCGCTTCAATAAAAATTTTTCCTTAATGATATTAATTTTTAAGAAACTTTTCGAGTAGATAACTTGATAAACCATAAAGGGAATTAATGTGAATTTCTGTTGCTTAGTTTCATTATAATTTATGTTTCATTTAAACTATTGTATGGTCGCATATTCTTGAAATCCTAATGTTGTAACTAAGATATCCAGTACAGAACTACTGTCTTGGGAATTGCAAAGAAGATACATACGCCTGTTGAGGTTAGGTAAATAAATTAGATTATTTTTAATTATTGTAAAATGGTGC